GTATTCACATGATTATCACTTCAGTCTCCCTTTCTGTCTCCCTCTTGTACCTTAAAGGACTCTTATGATTGATTACATTAGGCCCACCCACATAATCCAGGAAAATCTTATTCTAAAGGCAGGAGGTTAGCAACCATAATTCTATCTGAGACATTAAATCCACTTTGCCATGTAAAGTAGCATATATAGCTTCCAGAGATTTGGACATGGCTATCACTGAGGTGCCATTACTTTGCCTACCACAAGCCTTAAATATGGATTTAAAAAATAAAGTTTGGATTGCTCTCTTACCTGTAGTCTTTGATTTGTTGAATTTGCTGTTTTTCTTACATGTTGGCCTTCTCACTTATGTGGTTGTAAGTTCATCTTCTGTGGGAAAGTTCTTCAAACATCCTGGACCATGGGGATTTCAGGAACTATGGCTGAAGGTGGTTTGGCAGCTTAAGGTGGTCTCTACAGCTGTGGTGGTTTTACACACGACAGTGGTCTTAGCACTGTGGGGTAGGATCTTTTGAGAGAAACCTGTCAACTTCTAGGCTGAGGTAGTTTCCTTTGCAGAGTTTCCACTTCTCCCATACCCTGACTACAGTCAGAGGGGAATATTTGCATTTCCCCAAATACAAGAGGTTGTTTCTATTTCTAAGCTTATTAGGCCTTCCTGTAAGACCCTGTTTAGCAAAAGAAGAAGCATGTAAAAGAAGAGGTTAAGTAACATTATTGGTAAAAAGGACCTGGCTTTTTGTTGAGCAGACAGAATTAGTCATGGCTGTCGGGTAACTTCTTAAAATCCAATACTAGAGGCCTTCCCCAGTTCTTGATGATAATAATAAAAGGTGACACCTACATAGCATTTATTATGTATGAGAAGCTGTTCTAGGTGCTTGGCGTATATTAACTCATTTATTTATCATAACAACTATTAGTATTTCTATCTTGAAGATGGGTTTACAGAGAGGTTAAACGACATCCTGGGTTATACAATTTTTTTCTTTACATTTTAGTTTAGACTCATCTTTGTTACATGGGTATATTACATAATCCTGGAGACTGGGCTTTTAGTGTACCCATCACCCATATACTGAACATTATACACAATAGGTAAGTTGTTTTGTTTTTTTTTTTGAGTTGGAGTCTCACTTTGTCACCCAGACTGGAGTGCAGCGGCCCCTCCCGGCCACCGCAGCCTCGACCTGCTGGGCTCCGGCGATCCTTCCGCCTTAGCCTTCCAAGTAGCTGGAACTACAGGTGCGTGCTACCACGCCCGGGTAATTTTTTTATTTATTGTAGAGATGAGGTCTCGCCAAATTGCCCAGGCAGGTCACAGTCAGTGACAACCAACAATGCAAGTCACAACCCCTCGGGCAGTGGTAGGGATCTATGTTCATTGAGGCTTGGCAAGTGGTCCCATGTTCTGATTGAGAAATCTGAACACTTTGGGTGTACCCCACAGTCTATTGGTTTGTAGTTTCATCAGCCTTATTCTGATTGGCCATATCCATTTACATAAGCCATTGCATCATTCTATATGCATTGTTGGCTAGTTATTACATTCCAGAACTTTTTGGAACTTTTCTAAACATGTTTATTACTTTGGGGAATGGCAGGTGTTTATCGCTTTTGAGTGAGGTAGCCATATGCTAATCCTTAATGGGGTATTTGCGTATTATTTTAATTACTTCTGGGGCAGAAGCTTACAAGGAAATGAACACTTTTGGTGGGAAAGCTTGTTTACCTTTTTTTTTTTTGGCACAGCAAATAGGTTTCTATTCAATCCTATTAAAATGTAGAATGTGGTATCCTTTAATCATATACAACTAGTTAGTGACAAAGCTAGGGTTCTTATCCAAGCAGTCTATGGGCGGAATCCACATTCTTAACTACTATATTATACTGCTGCACTTTCTGGCACTGTCTGGTACTAACACTTCACATTTGAACTGACCACTCCTAAGAGTACAGACCATAGCTGGAGAAAACCCAAGTTATCACAGGGCAGGCTACAGACGTCTCAGGAGCAGCATCCAGAGGACCCTGGTATGTAAGAGATATCTTATAAAGAAACTGAAAACTTCAGTGAGGGGTTGCTAAGATGGTGCGACACAGGAGAGTTTAAATTATTGCAACTTTCCTATTAATACGTTGTTTTGCTTTTTCTTCTAACAAAACTTTCTCTGATAATGGTGTGTTTACCATGATTGCAGCTACTGGAATTTTTGCTCACCTGTAGCTTTACAAGAAAAGGTTTGCATGGGTTTCTAGATTAAACTTCAGATAAGAGAATGTAATACAGAAATTTGGGCCCTTGGCACTATGAGCATTTCTGACATAAAAATAACTTATCTTTTCTCTAAGACTGAGGTAGAGCAATGACAGAGCTTCAGCCAAATTACAGCTCTGGTGTGTACTAGTGAATTTGCAGATGATGCAGTGCACGAGGCATTGAAGAATAACTGTACTTAGTAGATCTGAAATATTACCAGTGAACTTGGACCTGAAAGCATATCAATGGGAATATATGAATGGAATAACATATCAAGTCTAATTGAAATATAGAAACTATGTTTTACAAGTGTATAACTTTCAAAGAGTGTCCATGTTCTCCCCATATGGGGAAAAAAACAAACATCAGAACATAGTCCAGAATGTGTCCTTTGAGTTGGTGGCTTTTTCTTTTATGACAACAATATGGCATGAGATTGAAATGTGCTTACATTTTTATTGTACTTGGATATGATTTTTGTGAAAGCATTTTGAAAGTGATAAGATTCAACTGGGATCCTCAACAGCAGTTCTTGGAGATATGGCTTATAAAGAATCCTGAATTATCAGACGAGGAAAGAAACACAGTCTTTTTTTACTTAAATTCTTGTTATAGGTCAGGTGTGTGGCCCAAGTCTGTAATTACAGCACTTTGGTAGGCCAAGGTGAGGGGAGTTTCTGAGCCCAAGAGTTTGAGAACAGCATGGGGAACTTGGTGGGATCTCATCTTGACAATAAATAAAAAAATTAGCTGCGTGTGGTAGTGCGCGCCTGTAGTTCCAGCTACTTGGAAGGTTGAGGTGGAAGGATCATCTGAGCCCAGCAGGTCGATGCTGGGTTGGCTGTGAGCGTGTCACTGCACTCCAGCCTGGGTGACGGAGTGAGACTCCAACTCAAAAAAAAAAAAAAAAAAAGATTCTTGTTATGTGCAAAATGGTGGATATTTATATTCAGTCCCTATCTTTGTCATAAAGGAAGTTGTGAAAAGAAAGCTATCAATCGTGGCTGTGAGTTCATGTTAACATTTTATGTTTGCCCCATAAGATAGTTTACAAGACATTTGATCTTTTGATCCTCATGACAATGCTACAGTAAAATAAAAAATTGGGGCTGACAGAACTGTAGCATAGCTACCAAGATTGCCAACTAATAATTGCTAGAGATATGATTCAGGTTCAAGTCTCTTTGACTCCAAGCTTTGCTCTTTTGACTGTGGTATAGTGCATCCCTCATGGAATTGTGTTTAGCCATAGAAGATTAGGTAATGACAGCTGTCCTTTTATATTTAGAGTTCAACATAAGTCCATTTAAACCCAAACTTTATAAATACTTAATGTTAAGTACTTTTACTATTCTCCATTGGACGAGGGAAAAAGGAATTTCCAATTGATTGACTGCTTTTCCAGACATGCTTTACCAGTAGAATAGTTTCAGGCAATTTAGTTTTTAAAAACCTCTATCCATCAGAGATTTCTTATTTTTTTTGTACTAATAAACAGACACAATAGATGCTTTTTTTTTTTGAGTTGGAGTCTCACTCTGTCACCCAGACTGGAGTGCAGTGGCCGCTCCCGGCTACCGCCGCCTCGACCTGCTGGGCTCCGGTGATCCTTCTGCCTCAGCCTTCCGAGTAGCTGGAAGTACAGGCGCTCACTACCACGCCCGGCCCATTTTTTGATTTATTGTAGAGATGAGGTCTCGCCAAGTTGCCCGGGCAGGTCTCGAACCCGCGGGCTCAGGCAATCCACTCACCTCGGCCTCCCAAAGTGCTGGGATTACAGGCTGAGCCACTGAGCCCGGCCAGATGCATTTTTTAATAAGCCTGAATATTAATACTTCTTTCTGTGACCTATGAGTAACTGGTCATTGGGAGACCAGATGAGATATTTTTCATTCCTTTTATTCAGGGAGAAGGCCATGGTCAAGGGGACACATGATGTGCAATGGACATCTAACACTTCATGTTGATTCATCCCCATTCCTCAATGGTTCTCTGTATTCTACTTTAAGAAGTTAAGATTAAAAACTAGAAGAATGTTGTGGACTAAGTTTTACCCACACTATTTGTAGTTTTCCTGTCCAGCTACACAATTTGTCAGGTGTCTACTGTGAACAATGGCACAAATTTATAAGACAGATTAATGCTAAAAGTTACAATCTGTAACCCAAGATTAGATGAAAATAAATGCCACTCATAATACTAATTATGTTCCTGATCTTATTGTATTTATTTGGTCATCCCAAATAAACTCATCTATTTATTTAAATGGAATATTACATCTCAGTGATTATGTTTAATAATGGACACATGAAACAATTTATCACCTGGTTTAATATTTTGCTTGACTCATCTAAATCTTGTTTCTCTTAGGACGCAGAATCTCCATCTGTTTAACAGTATTGTTAGTGTATATATCTATAGCACCTACTTTACTATTGAACAGTGGGTATGAAATGGAGACCTCATTGAGATTATCCCATTCATGAACACATCTCTTTTGAGGGAAGATTGAAAAAGTAGAAATAGGCAGGGGAAAGAAAGAAAAACCAGTTGCTGAAAAAGGTATTTGAAGTTGAGCGATGGACAGCAGTCAGGTTTTTATCTTAGTTTGGAAAGTAGGGTGAAAGGCTAAGCTAAAAAAAATTCAAAAGAAAGGAACATATTTATAATTAGTTAAGCTGAGCTTAGGGTGAGAATAAAAGTACAGCGGTGATAAAATAGAAAATATTTTTTAATAGTTTCACCTTTATTGAACCGTTTCAATTTTACAGAGGCGAAACTGAGACGCAGAGTAGTGAAATAGCTAGGTGAAACTTATATAGTAAATGGTAGAGCTGGAATTCCAATCCTGGCGATCTGAATCACTATTTTAAAATGGGGAATTAACAAAGCACATAGAGTGAGAAAACTTATAGGAAGGCAACCAGAGACCAAGGGGTTACTCGGAAAAGAAAGACTGCATTTTAAAAGATGCCAATGGGCTAATTATAGTTACGTATTATTGACAAATTGCTTTACATATGTTAGCTCTTTTAATCCCGCTAACAATTCTGTGAGGTCGGTACAATTAGTTCCATTTTTCAGACAAGAACACTTGATAAACATTCTCTGCTTGCATTGAGACTCCAACATCTCAGTAGGTGGCTCTGGAGCAAGATAAGACTGAGACTTAGCGATAGAGCAGAGCAGGTTAAGGTATGAAGCCTCAAAGTAAGAAACGCAGGAAAAGTTTCTCATTTCCCATTTAGGCAGAGGCTGGTTTCAGCATTCAAATTCCTGCAGCCTGCCCGCCAAGGCATCTCACAACCCGCCTCTCAGGGAGAAGGCCACGCCCCCTTCCTTGGCTGTTCTCTGAGCTCCCAATACTTCCCTCCTTCTCTTTGGCCCCGCCCATCCCAGCTGGCATCATTTCCTGTGCGCTGGACGCTGATTGGTCCAGAGGTCGGAAGTGAGGGCGGGCGGTGGGGCCGTTGCCGCAGTGACAGTGCTGGGGGAGTCCGAAGATGGCGGCGTCGCGTCGCTCTCAGCATCATCACCACCATCATCAACAACAACTCCTGCCCGCCCCGGGGGCTTCGGCACCGCCGCCGCCACCTCCCCCACCACTCAGCCCTGGCCTGGCCCCTGGGACCACCCCAGCTTCCCCCACGGCCGGTGGCCTGGCCCCCTTCGCCTCCCCGAGGCACGGCCTAGCGCTGCCGGAGGGGGATGGCAGTAGGGATCCGCCCGACAGGCCCCGATCCCCGGACCCGGTTGACAGTACCAGCTGTTGCAGTACCACCAGCACAGTCTGTACCATCGCCACCGCTACCGTGGTCCCGGCCGTTTCTGCTTCATCTGCCGTTGGGGTCGCTCCCAACCCAGCCGGTGGTGGCAGTAACAATTCACCGTCGTCCTCTTCTTCCCCGACTTCTTCTTCATCTTCCTCTCCATCCTCGCCTGGATCCAGCTTGGCGGAGAGCCCCGAGGCGGCTGGAGTTAGTACCACAGGAACATTGGGGCCTGGGGCAGCGGGACCTGGGACAGGGGTCCCAGCAGTGAGCGGGGCTTTACGGGAACTGCTGGAGGCCTGTCGCAATGGGGACGTGTCCCGGGTAAAGAGGCTGGTGGACGCGGCAAACGTAAATGCAAAGGACATGGCTGGCCGGAAGTCTTCTCCCCTGCACTTCGCTGCAGGTCAGAGACTTTTGTTCTGAATTCTTTATTAAGGTCTTGGGGGTTGGGGGCTGGGGTCAGGCTAGGAAAAGAAAACAGGTTATCGTGATGGGACAAAATGGGGGCGTGGTTACTGTTCTTCCACACCTCGCCCGAAGACCGGAGATTCCTTTCTTTTGATTGTTCCTGGGTGATGGGGGCGTGGTGGTGGTGGGGTGTGTGTGAAAACAAGGAATCCTTCTTTAGTGTTTACACAGTGTTGTTTGTATATTCCAAAACTCCGTGTAGTTGGTAGTCTCTGGATGTAGCTATACTTAAACTTTTTCAGTTCTGAGTGTGTAGGAATAAAGTTAGGTTGAAGCGTTTAGAGTAGTTTTGTCGTTTTTTGCTAATTTATTTTGTTTTTACATGGGTATGTTTCTTTAGGACGTCCATACCAAAGCATGTTTAATGTAACTCAACAAGTGTTTGAGACTCCAACTCAAAAACAACAACAACAACAAAAAAGAATCTAGTATAGTCTTAGTAACCCAAAGAAAGATATAAATGAAGTTTTTGAAAGAAGTTTTTTTTCAAGAAGTTTACAGTCTAGTTGGAGAACCCCAAATATGCCTATATGAACCAGCTGGAAACATTTGCATGCTTATGGGGATAACGGCAGAAATATAGGCTTTCAGTTGTGAACACCAATCCTTGTTGACTGACAATTTACCTTGTCTCAGTTGCCTCAGTTTTGTTAGGGGCAAAAATCATATACTAAGGTTGTGTGAGAATTTACTGATTCTCCCCCCAAAATTCTCCCCCTAAAAGTGTGAATTTCTTCACTCTGGACCCCACACTTTACTTTTATGTTTTTGTCGGGTTTTTTTGACCAAGTAGTTTACTTTTTTTTTTTAAACCTAATATTTTTAAAAAACCAAATACAGAGATGTAAGATTAAAAACAAGAGGTCATTATCTCACTGTCCAGATACCTATTACTGATAATAAATACAGACAATGATGTTATGTACATTAGAAATATGTACATTATATACACATTATAAAATTCTAATAGAACAGGAAGGCACAGAATGAAACAGCACAACACACAAACATCAAAGATAGCACATCAAAGAAAACCTCTGTTAAGTTTCTTGCTACCTTTCTAATATGTCTCACTCCTTCAATTCATTCTCTACTTGGGTTTAGGTCACTTTTCATTTCTTTGAATATTGTAGTGCTGAGATTCTAATTTTTGCAGTGTTTTAGAAGTAGTAATTGGGCTTAAACACAAGAGAGTAGCTTTCACATATTTTTTATTGCAACCTGTACTTAGAAATACATTTTACACTGTCATACACATATGCAGCAAAATCGAAAGTGTCAGGAGATAGTACTTTCTGTTACTACATGTGTTGTAATCTGATATTTTATATCATGTTCCATTTCATTTTTAGCAAATGCTGTTTGTGAGCCATTAATGGGTCATGACCAGTGGTATGAGAAACACTTAAAGGAAATCATTATTAGGTCACTGGATTCATTCTTGATACATAGACACTATTATTAGGAATGTAGTGAATTGAATCATAAACAGGCTTTCATCTAACTAGATATTTTTTTGCTGAAGGGTCTTGCTTATTTTAGATGAAATAGTATTTCTTTTTATTTAGGCCAATTAAAGTTTTAAGTGATTTTATAAAAAAACCCAGGTTGTTTACTTTTGCATATTTTATTCCAAATTTGACTATTTTAACAAATTATTTCTTACCCTACCAAGTAATCACTAACAAGTGATAATTAGTTATGTTTATTTGTGTATTAATGAACTTATTTAGAATTAGTCACATAAAATAGTGTGTCTCCCAAATCACTTCTTCTATTTGTCACAATAGTTATTCTTTTTTTTTCTTTTTGAGTTGGAGTCTCACTCTGTCACCCAGACTGGAGTGCAGTGGCTGCTCCCGGCCTCCGCAGCCTCGACCTGCTGGGCTCCGGCGATCCTTCCGCCTCAGCCTTCCGAGTAGCTGGAATTACAGGCGCGCGCTACCACACCCGGCTCATTTTGATTTATTGTAGAGATGAGGTCCTGCCAGGTTGTCCAGGCGGGTCTCGAACCCGTGGGCTCAGGCAATCCACTCACCTCAGCCTCCCAACGGCGCGGGATTACAGGTTGAGCCACCGAGCCCGGCTAATAGTTACTTTCTATTCTGTTTCAAAGTTTTATATATACCTAGATAATCTAGAATACACATAGTAAAACAGTTGTAGTTCTGAGAACCTCACCTTGAACTGGCTTTAAAAAATTTCTTTTTTGTGGAAAACAGACAACAATAATAAAACTCTTCATGGTATAAAAACATAATACCCTGTAGTCAGTTTGCTAACTTCCATGTTTGTATGCATAATATTAAAGCTTTGTTAAATCTTGTTTTCTCTATCATATATGGGCTGAGTAATTAATTCTCAGTTGACTATTAGTTGGCTATTATGATAATCATTTAATTGTCATGGAATAGCTTTTTTAAAGATAGGAAATTGATTCAATCCCTTGGATTGAAAAGTTTAAAAAGTTTGTTTGTTCCACAGATATTTTAGTACTTATAGGTCAAGTGTTAAATACTGGCACAGCTATGGAGTGACAGTCCTTACCTTCACAGAGCTTACAATTTTGTGGGGAAACCTAAATAACAATAACAAAAACTTACAAGGTATGTAACCTGGAGAGATAGGAAAAGTACATTATACTGTCTGTCACAGTATATAATAGGGACTCTGGTTTTAGAGCAATTAAGAAAATCTTTCTAGATAGAGTTTTTTTTAAGCAGAGTTAAAAAGGTGAGTTCAAGCTAGCTAAGCAAAGGTTGGAAGGCAGAATGTTAACTAATGCCTTTAGTTCTGTTTTTAAATGTTACAATTTTATCGAATGAAATGAAACCATTTTTAAAGATCTCAGAAGTGGTATGAAATCATATTTAAATCTTATGACTTTATTTATATTGCCATAAGAGTAACTATATACTTTCTAGGAGAAGAATTAAGAATCCTATCTAGCCTTTCTTAGATTGTGATAATTTGTTTAAAATATGGCTTTGAGACTATATTAGTAATAGAGTCATCCTATCCATAATTATATCAAAATCTTCCATTTCCATTGTTGATATAAGCTCTCAAAATACTATTTCTAATACCTTCTTAAGATGGCTATATCAAAATGATCCATTCTTTTATTACTGACTATTAGAGTTTATATGAGACTTTTTCTTCTACAGATATGATCCTTGACCCTGCTTTTGTATTATTCAAAGTATAGCAGTCAAAAAGCTTTATAGATAGTACCAGTTTAGAGTGATATCATCTCCCTAGTTCAGTTCTTAGTAGTGACATATTTTTTACAAAAAGATTAGTATATTCTGATAAGATCTCTTTTTATAGAAAAGTTTAGACTAGGTCTCTTTCTTTTTTTTAAGGCTTTAATAAAGCGTTACATTCTGAGATTTCATAATATTACTTTAAATTGAAGAAATTTTGAAATAGGCTTCCTGGAAGTTAATTAATATATGACTTGGATTATGATATGTAATATGAGATATATTAGTCTCAAAACCAGCAAATAAAGATGACAGTTTTTTGTTTTCTTTTGATTTGGGTGGTATCTACTACAACACACATTTAACCATACAGAAGTTGTTCAGCTCATTCTTTCTCTTCTGATTTTCCAGCATGGCCATGCTTGTCTTTTTCCTCACCACTGTACAAATGTAGTTCTTAGTGAAAATCACCAGGTCCTCTAAACTGTTGCCTGTTAGTGGGTCAGAAAATGAGTTAGAATACTTCAGTCCTGGAGTGGGAATCTTATAGTAATTTTCATTGTCAAGGTCCTTGATTGTGCTTTAAAGCAAATTTCCTGCCTCAGGACTTAAGAAGGGTCTAATTTAGTAATAAAAGAAAAGCAACTAGTTTCAAAAGTATCTTCTCAGACTTAAAATTGTTGATTACAAACTGGATTATCTTTTGCTTAGTGTTTTCTTAAAACCTGACACTTTCCTTAAGGTACCTCTTTTAAAAGCCTCATGTAGAACTTTTAGTTAGAAAGATGTGAGAAAGATGTGTGAAGTGTCTGGTCTTTCTAATGTCTTAGTGATAACATTCTTTGGAATAAAGTGATTTAAAGAAAATATTAGCTGTTTGTTAGATGACAAGTAAATGTGTCTCTAAGAGTAAGAAATTGATAAGCCAATTGTTCAACAATAGAGGAGTGCTTACATAAATTGTAATACTATAGAATTTCTGTTACATATCTGTCTGTACATATATTCTTCTGTCTATCTTTTGTTAACGCATGTCAGTGTAAATTGTAGGTATCTATGCAGTTACCCTAAATATATGCATATTGTTATCTAGAGTACAGTATTTGTTTAAATATTTGTCTTTTAATGTAAAATCTGTACAGATCCTATGTGTACATTCACTGAGTTTTGACAAATGCAAACACCTATGTAACTCAAATTATGACTTTCTAGAAAGTCATAACGTAAGAAAGTTCCCTTACACTCCTTGTCTCAATCCCTGTTTCTAACCTAACCCCCCACTCCGGACAACCATTGTTCATTTATCCACTGTTTTAGAAGTTCAGATAGATGAAATCATCCAATATTTACTCATTTTCTGTAAAACTTGTTTTGCTCAGCATGTTTTTGATTTTGTAACATGTATTAGTATTTCCTTTTTACTGCTGAGTAGGTTTCATTTTATGAATGTGCTATAGTTTGTTAATTCCCTTTCCAGTTAATGAACCCTTCAGCTGTTTCTAGTTTTGGCTATTATTAATAAAGCTGCTATGCACATTCTTAAAAATTTATTTTTGTGGACATAGATTTTCTTTCTCTTGGGAATATCTGGTATTGGGAATATCTGGGCCTTAGGGTACGTGAGTGTCCCATTTTATAAGAAACTTGCACACCTTGACCCAAAGTATATTTACCATTTTACACTGTCAGCAATTTATGAAAGTTGCTATTTTTCTATATCTTAGAATATTTGATGTTTTTAGATGTTTTAATTAAAACCATTCTGGTGAGAACATGTGGCTATATTATTGTGGTTTTATTTGTGATTTATTTTATTTCTTTGAAGTCTAATGACTTTAAAACTTTTTCATGTTTCTATTTGCCATTTATATCTCTTTAATCAAGTTTTGCC